GCAGGACAAAGTATTTTCTTAACTAGGAGCAACAAAATGTTTTGATTGGATTGATGTTTAAATATAATCCTTTTTAAAGATTAAAAATCCAAGGTGTAAGAGACTATGGTGTATCTTATCTTAAGTCATCTTGGTGTCCATAGTTTGATACTGCTATGCTCTTCTTGCCCAAGCTAATTTCCTGCTTCAATATTTTTCTGCTGAAACAGGAAAAGGAAGAGACCAGGAATTGATTTATAAGTAGCTCATTTATTTTTCTGTCCAGTGTTTGGTGATAAGTTATAGTTCAGTGTTACTACCCAGCCTTCAAAAGGCTCTAGATTCAATTGTGCTGGGAAAGGAGTCTGTTTATAACCATCAAAATGCCAAACAATGTAGAGGACACTGGATTTGGTGGATCATCAGTCTGATCTGATACAGCTTTCTATGTTTCCTCTTCTAAAACTGCAGAAACATGCAGAAAATCCCAAGCGTGCCCAGAAGAAAAACAAAATCAAAAACCAGCTGTTCTTCCTGAATAGGATGTGGGCTCATTTTTCCTTACAGCAGAAATAATCAGAAGTCATTAAGATGCTTTGAACTTTAATTCCATCAGTCCTGGCTATCAGAAGAAACTGAGGATTATAGTCTCAATCATTACAAACATAAGCATATAAGGGAAAAGTGGAAGGCAAGTAATGAAACATACATTCCAATATCATGATCCAAGTCCTATGATGTCATACTTATATCCAACATTGAGGCAGATTTTGCCCTATGATACTGTCACATGTGTGTCACTCTTCCACCATTGTACCTAGCTGTACCAATGATAGTAAAGCTGCCAATTGTCTACTTTCAGTAGATTAAAAGTCCAAAAGCAGGGCATCCTAATTTAATTTAAGAGCTCCGTGTGGACTATTGCCTGCAATAGATGGAGGCAAGAAATGTTGCTAAACTTCCAGTTGTGGAAAGGAAGTAGTATTGCATCGGACTTCAGTGTATATTTCTTACTCCAAATTTATCGTGCTCTGCTTGTCATGCTCCCTGAAAACTTTGTTTTGAAGTGGCGTACTCAATGTTTATAATTGAGTCTGATCTACGTGTAGTGTGTAAAATATGTCATGTTTTTAATTTAGTGGATTCTTTCTCCTCATTCAAACCTTCTGCTAACACATAGACTACATACCAATATACCAACATCCCATCGAGAACTTCCCCCACCCCCCCCCTCAACACACACTCTTTATTCTGAAACATGACCAGTCTTTCTCTTTTTCCATTGAGCTACCTAGGTTTGGTTCTCAGATGTCTGTCAGATTGTTTCTGTCACTACAGATAACTGCCACATCTCTGGGAAATCAACATATTATATAGCCTACTGCCAAGTAGTTTTCTCCCCATCATTTTTTATACCGAATCTCCTATTATGACCTATATTTTCCTGTGTGGTTCTACATCAAGTAATTTCCCTCTGTAATACCTAAATGATCCAGAATAATTACACTCCATTCTATGTTCAGCGAACCAATGTTCTGAAATATTAATGAAGTTTGGAAAGAAACAAGGAGGCTCATCTATTTTTCTTTTGAGTATTGTTAGTGTTTTATGAAAACAATTATTTTACACTTAGATTGAGAAGAATGTTTGTAGCTCAAGGTTGAACAAAAACTAGCACTCAGTTCATCTCTGAGCTACAAATATTCTTTTCTATCGTACACTTTAGATTCCAGCTGTTAAAATTAAAACAGAAAAATATATTATTTAAAATAAATTATTAATCAGTATGGCTTCTCTCATATCTCAACCGCACTGCTATCAGGCTGTTAACCTTCTTTTTCAAAACTTGTTCTGGCTGATGAAAAGTCTGACTATGGTAGCCAATTTAAGGGGTATTAGAAATAAGTGAATAGGACAATCCACAAAAATGAAGAGTCCTGTGCACATTAAATACTAACAGGATTATTATTTCACAAGGGACTCAGCAGGGCACCTTGGATATAGACTTGTGACATAGTTGATATTAACCCAAGAGAACTGCTCCTAGAACTGTCTCAATATCCAATAAAGTGCAAACAAGGATTTCAGCTAAAATTCTAAGAAACAGAAGGATGTCTTGCGGTTGAAAAAGTCACAAGACCATAGTGCAAAAATTCTTTGACTCAGAAATTCTCATGGATGGAAGAGATACTGGATGGTAAGACGAAACTACAAACAATTGCTGCTGAGAGCAGCCACTCAGTTCCTGGAGACATTGGAAAATCAAGGAAGGCAGTTTGGGCATACCAATTCTGCAAATAGTGACAGTCAGAATCAGTGAGACAGATAAGATGCCCCACCAAAATATTTCCAAATCCCAACTGTACAGCAAATGAGGGCTGAGTTGTTTGCTTATCAAGGTTTAATAATAGGAATTTCACAGGGAGAAAAAGATGAAACTGAAGCCTAGCCCTGTTAGAGCCAGTGTTTTCAATAGATTCCAAGCTTAGCAAATTGGGAGAAGAAAAAGACAATGTCAAAAAAGAAAGAGCAACAAGTGAAGGATGCAACCCAGCATGCCTGGTTTAAACCGGTAAAACAAGAGTCTCTCTCCCTTAACTCGTTCATTCTTTCTTTCCAACTGCCAAGAAAAAGGGACATATGATGATATCACAAGGCCTTGATTAAATCAACATGGAAACAAGGAGTGTGTTTTTTCTCACGAGGGCCTCAGCCATGCTGGGATGGAGGCCTTGCTGGAGACATTTTTCCACGCATACAAAAAGCAGCTACCCGCAATGCACAACTCTGGATGGAATGAAATAAGAAAAGGCTTATTATGAAGGGCCTTCAGAATCTTATATTCCAAAACTGGCAGGTGAAACAGAAACAATTAAATGGCCAACTAGTTCTTGAATATCAATTGCTTGGGAACCTTGTACAATTGCTCAGAAGCTGGGAGAAGATGTAGGTTCAGAAATGCTCTCTCCCTTATTACTACTTCATATATTCAGATTATGCCTTCACTTTGTTTTGGGGTTCCAAATGATAATCTGACCGCCTTTGGACCACTGGATCAGAATCCAAAGGTTAGGAAGGCAGAAGGAGATGGCTCTTAATTTTCTGATCTCAGGCCAAAGAAATTATCCCCAAACCATTATAGGTTGTCCTCAGTTTATGATCATTTATTTAACAATGGTTCAAAGTTACAATGAAAAACTGGTTACAATTCATCCTTGAAGTTATAGCCATCGAACCACCCCACAGTGTCATATGATCACAATTTGGGTGCTGGGCAACCAGCTCGCTTTTACAATGGTTGCCATTTCCCAGCCAGCTTCCAACAAGCTAGATTCACTTAACGACCCCGTGATTCATTTATCAACCATGCAATTTGCTAAGCGACATGGTCACAAAATCAGGTCATTACATGATCACTCACTTAACAACCAAATCATTTAGTAACCAAAACTGCAGTCCCAATTGTGGCCATAAATCAAGGATTACCTGTACCTCTTAAGTACTATTTTTTTGTTACTGGGCAGATGGAGGCTGTCAAACACTGGGAATAAATTTTGGGTCCCTCAGGGTGATTTTACATCTGTCTTCAAATATTGCTACATTACTCTGTGAACAACAGCTCTTAGTTTGATTTCCCCACCCTTACTCCCACCCCCTCCCACAAAAACTTTGGGCCTCTGGCTTGATTACCACACAGGAAGTATGTTGATGATGATGGAGCAAGCAAAAAGCCCACAGCTAAGGGACCAGTGGTTGCTGGAAGGCTGCTCAAAGCACTCGTTAATGGGGAAAAAAGCTTTAATGACATACAACTAAAAGCAAAAACACAGCAGGGTGAATATAGCAACACTTAAACAGACTCCAGCTTCTCTTAGAGGAAAACTAAAAATGTTCTGTCCCTGAGTCAGGAGTTTTAAGAGACTATAAAGAGATTAGATTTATATAATTTATATAGGGAGTGGAAATTTGGTTCATTTCCACTACCACTTCACAGCTCTGGAGCTTTTTTTATCCTTCTTTGCCTCCCCGTTTCTGGTTTTTTTCTTTCCAAACCCTGATTCTTTGCTCTCCTGTAATTCTGCATTCGCATGAATACTCCTGTATTCACAATAGAATATTTGCATTTGAAGTTCAAGGCAGGGGGAACATGAGAACTCTCTATGTAAATTCAAAATAGAACTGTCCAGCAAGTGATTGGATCGACCTCTGTTGCCAAAGGATTTGTGGGGTTTAGGGAAGGTTGGCTGCAACCTCTCATTCCAAAACCGAACGTTGCTTTTTCAAAACCATACAGATCTAAAACCCTACACATCTTAAGGGGGAACTCATTCTTTCGCCTTCTGGGTAAGAGAAGATGGCCCTATATGGTTCAAGCCTGCCTTTGTGAAGTTTTCGTTTTGCGGTCGTTTCTCTTCCAATTTCCACATACTTCCTCTTCTCCCCTCCCCATTTCGAAGCTGTTCCATCAGAGTCTGGCAGCAGCCTACATTTTGCAGGCAGAAAGCCATCGCCAGAAATTAGGAATTTCAGTCCGCGGTTGCCTTTGTGCTTTCAAATGAATTCCTCTGGATCAGGTCAGCGAGCGCGCTAGAGCGAAAGGCGGGGAGGGAGAAAGGAAGCGAAACGCAAGGCGAAGCGGGCCGGCACTTCGCTTTTTCTTTTTTTAATCTTGAGTAAGGTGGCGGTTGTTTTTTTTAACCGAAGGGCTCTGCAGAATCAGCCCGGGGGGCATTCAGACGCCCGCACTAAAGACGGAAACTGTTGGTCGCTACCCAGGCAGGGACCAAGCGAGAATCAACGTGCGGGCTCCCTTCCAGGTTTCTCCCAATTCCTTGCAGGGTAAAGGGGTGGGGTTGTTTTGGCCGCTAACAAGTGAGTTTGCAGCAAAGGAGAGAAAAGGGGGCTGCCCGCGATGAGAGAAACGCGGGGGTCGACCAAGCCACGACAGAAAAGCCACTAGGGGAGCCGCAGAGAAGGGGAAGGGCGGTCAGCCGTATATATATATATATATATTTTCTTACCTACATCTGCATTGCAAAACGCCTGTTGCGGATGCACCGGGGAGCAGCTGCAGGCGTCGGCAAGGCGGCCCACCCTCCCCAGGAGTAAGACGGCCAGCGAGGCCAGGAGGCTCGGGAGCGTAGCACTCATCTTGCGGAGCGGGTGGTGGGAGGGAAGGCGGGCTTGGCTGAGGGGGCGGCCGAGGCTTCAAGTGCTCACGGTTCCTGCCGCCTCATCCAGATAGGCTCGCGCGCGCGCGCCCCCGCTCAGTCCTCTGAGCGCGGTCTTCTGTGGCGATTCCGGGGGGACGCGTGCCGCTTCCGCAGGAGGCTGTCCTCAAAGTTTGCCTGGCAGTCAAAGCCTGTCTCTCGGGATGGGGTGGAGAGCCTGGGGCGGCGGGGGAAAAAAAGGGGGGGTTCCCGCGACTGGAAAAAGAAAGCCTCCTCTCCGATAAGCTCCTGCTTCTTGCCTTCTGGAGATGTTTTCTTCTCCGGGTTCCAGTCTAAGCCTGGCTTTTTAATGGGCTCCAGGGAATTGCAGCCCCTCCTCCCGGTGGCGCTGGGCCAAAACGGGCGGTTGGCCTGCTCCGGTCGTGGTGTGCGCTGCTTTCCCTTCCTTCGCCTCCGGCCCTGCGAGATTGGGTCTCGGCTGCCTTTGCTTGACAGTTTTCCCCACCTTTCTCAGGCTGCAGGCAATTCCCCACTTAAGAGCAGCTACTCTCCATGAGTCCGTGCAGCAACCGGGCCCTTATTTTTTACACTAAATTTTCGTCAGAATTATAATAGCAGTCGAGCTTAGAAGGGATGCAGTTATACAGGCACCCTGATGTGAGGTCTCTCCTCCTCAAAACCATGGTTAGAACTTGGCCTTTTCCCACTGAACTGATGTCACCGAGTCTATTGCTGACCTGACCCAGGCCCTTAATTGGGATCTGCCTCCGCCCAGGCTTTGCTGTTTTAGAAAGCCAACCTGGTGCAAGGTTCTAGAGAGGGCCTAGCTGCTACAAGCAAGACAGTCAACCTTAATAAGTTCTCCAGAAATAAATGAACAGCTGCTGAAGAAAATGGACATCACTGTGAAGGCAGAGTACCAATCTACTGTACTTGGTTTATCAAGACTCTGAAATGTGGTCAATACTAGTTGCCAAGTCTTGGAAAAGGCACCCTCCTTCTCCATCTAATCTCTGCATTAATCTTAAAACACAAGATGGTGTTTCTAGGCAACCTTGAATTTTGGCATCAATGAGAAATCTGATTTTCAATCAATATGAAATAAAGAACTTGAAGCTCAATACCAATGCATTCTTAGTATTTTTTTGACATAAAATTTGGGAGGCTGTTTTTGACTCTTCTAGTAAAGGAGATGGGTTTTCTCATGTTCTGAGTTGAATGGTTGAATGCTATTTCAGCCAGGTTCCTAAAAAAAGGCACTCTTCTAAATATTCTTGAATATTTTAGAGACAGAATATGTTAAGTGCCAAGCGTAGCACGTGTTCTTAAGACATTCACACTAGAGCATTTTTGTTCTTTTAGAAATAATTTCCATCAAATGATTTTCGGTATGACACACGTTTTCCCCATATGGTATGGTATTCCCCATGTATACCAACTTGAGAAACTTGGATTTGGTAAGATTGGCACCATATTTGGGTTGACAGCAGCCAACTTTACAAAAGTTGGGGAATAGGGAAGGTTTGAAGTCTACATTTCAATTCTGCCTCTTTTCATGTAATTTTGATTTCTTTTCTTGGAAATGTCCCAAACGATATTCTTTCACTTCCTTTGAAAATGGTCATTGACTAATGTTCTGCGTGGTAAATTTTATGGAACTTTGTGTAGATACACTAAGCCTTTTGCTACTTCAGTGTCCCACATTCACTCTAAATGTAGACCAGAAGATACTGAAGAGAAGGATGTTTGCTTACTGTAAAATCACCCCCAGAATGTCCTGGGGGCACATAAACAAATTTATAATAGGCACTGAAAGAGTGTGTATAAGTGTTTTGACAATGCTAGGGTCAGGAAGCCAGGCTGGAGGCGGGTCTTGCTGACGGCCAAGGAGTGGAGCCGGCTGAGCGCCCAGCAGTGAGTCATGGCTGCTAGGAGTTAAATGGAAACACATGTGCAACCATTTGCAGGCTTTATTACTCACAGCAGGGAAAGTGTGGACACTTGGTAAACACAGGCCAAAGGCTGGGCTGATGCTTGCATTCAGACTTCCATAGTTCCCACACCCACAGTTTCCGAGTCTCATCGGTGGAGGATGAGGTCTTCTAACTAAATTCTCCATGTTGGCTCAAGATATTCACTGTGCAAATTGAAGCCTCCCCTCTCTCCCAGACATCCTGCTAAGAGGAATGCTTTATGAAGTTCTGCTGCAGTGTTCAAAATTTCAATTGTGTCTTCTTCAATTCTATTCCTTGCCCAGGGAGCCATCTGATGTTGATCATCTTACTGCAGGGCACAATTAACACTCTAAATCAGTGGTTCTCAACCTTCCCAATGCCGCGACCCTTTAATACAGTTCCTCATGTTGTGGTGACCCCCAACCATAAAAT